GCCGAAACGTTCGTACTATCACTCTTTCTGTCCTAGACCTCTATCTACGCCCTACGCTACTGTCCCGCTCTCACCCTATCACAAATCCTGACTTGTTTATTTTCCGCTCCTCAAGAAATGGGCCCTTTTTGATAATGTACTGCAGGATCATTATACCTGCTGTTCGTAATGTCGCTCTCCCTTTCGAGTGGCTATTCCGACTCGAGCCTCCTATGGGAATCCGCCTAATTGGCCAGTAGATTCGTCTTAATGCGTCTCACGAATATTGCATGCATACAAAACACGTGGCTCCAATGCAGGATCAAGCATAAAATAATTAAATGTTTTAGTTGAGGATACACGTTATTTCACAATTGCGACTGCTTCACGCTTAATTTGCAGCCACATCACAAGTCATAGTCACTTCACTTTTCAACCGCATGTAGCAAGAGCATAGGATCTTCAACCAAGCCTCTATGTGAGCCTCGCTAAACTATAAAATGTATTCAGGCTTGTAGCCGACCACCTTTCTTGTCATTGTGCTTGGTGTCACAAAGTATTGTGTTCGGCTGTCGATGTCCGTCACATGACTAACGAAAGTTTAGCGAGTTTATTCACATAAATCTACAATCCCAGCTCCCCGGCAATCACCCTGCAGCTTCCAGTGAGGCCAACTTACTCGCATCTTCAAACTAAATTAGAGGTACGCCAAGATGAGTTTATTGTGTTATTCGAAAACGACTATTTCTGCATAGCTTATAAATACTGTTGGCATTCTAATTGATCATTTATATTGAACACAATTATATTTGATGAAAGATTTAATGCAGGTTACGATAATGAAAAAATTAACGCATTAGTTAGCGTAGTGTCCCACCACACCCTTAAAACACTTCACTTTTAGTTTAGCTAAATAGAAGTAAATCATGCTCTGTAAACACTTTCTTTCTTAAATAAACGAATATATCAGACTTCAAGATGAATATAAAATGAAATAGCTCGACTGAAGGTAGATGGCTGATTTACAATAAATTACGGCATGCAAAAGTGATTTAAACGCTACCCCAACTTTATCAACTATCTTATTTTGCTGTAGTTCATTTTTCCTGTTGTCTACTATTGGCCAACAATACTCGAGAGACCCGATGTACAGAATTGACAAAACGCATCACTTTATCAGGATCTGTGTCTGGATAGATGCCATGGCCAAGATTGGCGATGTAGCGATGCACTCCAAAGCGATTTAGCATTGTTTCTACCATACCATCTAGATCCTCATCCGAGGCGTACAGTGCGCATGGGTCAAGATTTCCCTGAAGTTGCCAAAGAAGGGGAAATAGCATAAGATAAACAAATAAGGCAATACAGGTTACTATGAAAAGATAATAAAGATGAAAATAAATTGTTACATGCAAATGGTTTAAATAAATAACGCTTAGGTTCAGTTATTTTCTTCAATATGGATGCGACAAACGGAGAAGTACAGGTAGTTTAATAAAACTAAGTACAGTATTTTCCGGCAAATAAGACTTTTCACACCATAAATTTCTGCTCCTAAGTGGGGGGTCGTCTTATACGCCGAGTGTAGTTTAGGGAT